GGCAGATGGGGAGGGCCTCCCGGCTGAGGCCCATGACCTGTCCTGAGCCAGCGAGGGGGAGGGGGAGGGGAGAGCACGGGCTCCCAGGAAGACCCTCGCCCGGGCCAGGTCCCCAGATCTGCCCGCCTCCTCCTGGTGCCGCCTCAGTCCCACACGTAGGGGTTTCTAAAGACCTGAGAGTTCTTGCCTTCCTTCGGTAGGGTGGCATCCTGGTGGCTCTGGGCTGCGTAGATGTCTTCGGCCCGCAGGGTGGAGTTGGCACTGCCCATCACCTGGCTGTTAGCAGTGGCCCGCGGGAGGATGACGTCGTAAGCTCCTTCCGACTGGAAGGAAGAACAGTCGGTCTCACAGCTGCGTTCCGCCCGGGCGGATGCACACACACTCCCACTCCGCTTCCTGCAGGGCTGCGCCTGCCAGCTCCCCTTTCCCTCCTTGCCCTCCCCTTCCACCCCCTTCCAGCCAGGCCTGGGATGGATGACTCCCGAGTCTGGAAATGGAGGAGCTGACCTCTGACCTCCAGCCCCTTATCTCACCCTGCAGAGGGCCACCCTCTGGGCATGGAAATGAGGCTCCCAGTCACCTCCATGGTCCTGGGGCTTCACACAGTGGATGGCTCTTTCCAAAAGGATCTTCCTCTCGAGCCCTGTCCCACTTCCTAAACCTTGGGGCCCAAAAGAGAGTGAAACACACGGGGCTTCTGTGACAGGCCCGGCTACGCTCCCAGGCTCCCTCCCTCCAAGACTCTTAGCTGAGTACCCCCGGCGGCATTACACCCCCGCCACGGCATCACGGCTGGTGTGCCGGGCCCGGAACACCCTTCTGTCAGGCCCCAGGCGTGTCACATGTTTCTTATCTAGCAGTCTGATTTAGAGACTTAAACCCCGAATGGTTTGGGGTTTGAGAGTCTTAAGTTTTGGAGACTTAAAATCCAAAGTCTCTGCCTGGATCCTGGTCGGAGCTGCGTTGGTTCTGTTCCTGTGTGGGTGAGGGTGGGGCATGGGTCCCAGGTCCCACCCTGGAGGGAAGGTGAGCTCCAGGCCTCACCTGCCTCATCCCTAGGCACAGAGCTGCCACCAAACCCCCGCAGCTTCAGGGCCCCAAGCTGCCTTCTGAATCCACTCAGACCTGGGTGGTCCTCCCAACCCATTTACCATCTCCAACTCCCCCTCCCCATGTAGCTCCTGGAACATCTAGATCGAGGAAGGGTTCTCCAACCTGGCTGTGCGTCAGAATCACCTGACTGTTTATGAAGCCACAGCCATGCCTAGGGGGCCCCACCCTGCGGTGAGCTGGTGAACGTTTCACGACCCTGATCTGTAATGTTGGCAGATCTCTGTGGGCGGTTATTCCCATCATGGCTTGGATAACTCCAAGTTATCAAGGTGACGTCACTGAAGAGATGCTAACTGTTCGCTCCATCACACCCCTGGCGCTTGCGCCTTTTTAGCAAGTTCCCAGGGGATGGTAATGCTGGGGGTCGAGGGACCATGTTTCTGGAGCCACCATTAGATAAAATATCTATTAGTTCAGCTCCTTCCTGAAGAAGCAGGACTCCATGCACACAGGTGAGGGGTGGCCAGGTGGGGCACCCTGGGTGTCTGGGGGCTGGCAAACTGCTCATGCCCTTCAGAGATTCATTCCTCGGCCTATCCTGGCTCCTGGCCGCAGCCTCCCTCTCCTGGAACCTAGCTGCAGGTTCAGGCTCTGGAGAGCGAGGGGTCTCCCCAAGAGCAACTGCCAGCCAGCCGGGGAGGAGGAATGTATAGGACCTCCTATACCGGCTTCCTGTTCCCACCCGCCCTCCCTTGGCTAATGGAGCATCTGGTTTCCAGAGCCCAGGGGAGGTGTAAGGTCGAGAGCTGCTGCCTGCTGGTGGGGGGAAGGGAGCAGGAGAGCCTCTTGGGACAGCTGTGGTCGAGCAGCTAATACCTACCCAGACCTGCCCTGTGGTCCTCTGTCCACCACGAATGGCACCTACCTGGCTGAGGCCCCCCTTGTCCCTCCCTAAGCTGCTTAGGGGAAAGCTGGAAGCTCCCATCAGCTCAGAGAGAGACTGTTCTGAGCAGCTGTCCTCACTGGGTGTTTTGACACCCCGATGACACAGGGCAGACAGGTCCCGCCACAGTGTCACGAAAGGCAGTAGGAACATCAACCCCAGGAAGAGGGAGCTGGGGTCCTGGGCTCCCGAAGGCTGACGCATCGGATGCAGAGCCTGCCTTGTCCCTCCCGCTTCCACCCACCCTGCACACCCGGGCACCCCACTCACCGGGGCTTTGTGCATCAAGGTCATCTCAGTGGGCTGGTACACACTGGTCAGCAGCTGCCCGTTGTACCCGCTGTACGGTGACACTGGTCTCTTAGCTGCAAGGAAACATAGCAGCTGTTCCGGGCTGGGCTTTAAGCTCCCTTTCCTGCTCTCAAGCAAGGCTCCCCAGGAGGCAGGGAGAGGGAAAAGGGGGCTAGGCCAGCCCTGGGGGTGAGGCTGTAGGTGTACCCCACCCCGTGGAGCCCAGCATCCCTTTGTTTGGATGCACAGAGAGCACAATGCTCGCCTTCCCCTTGGGCTTTCCCTGCAGCATGAGACCCCCTCCCACTGAAAAAACGTCCCGTCAGCAACCTTCACATCCCCTTCCGCCCTCTGGGGCCAGAGGCCAAGAGGGGCACATGGACCTTCGGCCGCCTTCCAAGATGGCCAGCCTCCAGCTCTGGCCTCTCCTGCTGCGGGCCAGCTGCCAGGCGCCAGGGTAAAAAAAGCAGAGACCCCACTGCCCAAGAGTCTGCATGGGGCAGGGCTGGGTGCTGTTTGCCCAGGACCCAGAGCTCCACCAGGGGGACTGCAGGCACATCCTGTCCTGTGGCCCCTTGGCAAGTTTCCAGAACTATTTTCAGCTCTGGGAACACTTCCCTGTGCCTTCCGGGGTGTTGATTCCCCGATCTGTCCTACGCTGCTGGGCGCTGGGTCGGAGGAAAGCTGCTGACAAATTCTGGGGGCTGGGGAGAGGGCTGAGCTGTGAGAGCCGGGGCAGCGGATGCCCGTCTCCTGCCGGCTGATGGCCCTGTGGCTCTAAAGGGACCACAACTCTATAGGGCTTCCTAAGTGCTGGGCTCACTCAATTGATTTGTCCATTTAGAAAAAATAAAATAAAAGGAAAAAAAACCCTTACAGCCCCAGAAGTGTTTGCCTTGAGGACAAAGGCTCTCTGGCCAGCGGGTGACAGCAAAGGTGGGGGCCGCCGAGGATCCTCCCAACATTCGTCCCCAAGCCTCACCAACTGCACCTTCCCCCCTCACTTGGCACCAGGCTGTGCGGATGCCAGGGGCCACCCCGCTGGGCAGGTCAAAGATCAGTGCCTGGCAGGGTGAGGATCACTCCTTTCCCCAAGGTGGAGATTACAGGGATCACAGCTTGTAGAGAAAAAAAAGGCAGAGCTCTGATTCTGAAACCTCCCCTGCCTCTGCCTCTGCCTCTGCCTCTGCCTCTGACCCCTGGCAGAGGTCCCAGAGGTAGTGCTCAACAATCAGGCAGGTCAAGTCTTAAGCCCCCAACACCTCGATCAGCAGAGTAGGGGGTCAGCGTGCAGGCTTTCCGGGTCACAGCAGATGAAGGGGCTGTAACCAGCCGGCTAAGAAAGCACGTGAGACGCATGCTACAGGGCACATCCGGAAAGGCTCAATGCCTGGCACTCAGTGTGTGCTCAATAAACGCTAGTGGTCCTTACAATGAACAAATGCCAGAAAAAGGCTCCTTCCTTAGGGAGCTGGGAGCACGTCTGGCCAAGTCTCCTGGAGAATGGCCACCCCCTCCTGCCTCCCAAGCTTTTTCCGACGGGGGCTCAGCCCAGGCTACAGGGGCTTCTCTTGCCTTCTTGCTGCTTCCACCTCCGAGGTGCCCTCAGCTCCAACCACCAAGGCTCTGGGGCTGCCTGGCACCTCAGGAGAGCCCCATCCCATTAACAAAGAGCCAGGGCAGGAGCTTGGGGACAAGCTGGCTATCGGATAGCGGGTGCTGGCTGCTTAGATCAGCATGTGGCACACGTGATTTTATGAAAAAGAAAAAATTTTGAACTGAAAAGACTTTAAGAGGAAACTAAGATTGTGGATATGTACATAATGGGAAAACAAGCTCTCAAAGGATAATAATATTGACAGTAAAATAATAGTAATACACAGAGCTAATAGCTAATACTTCTAGAGTACCTTCCAAGCACCAGAAGATGCATTAATTGAATCCTCAAAAGAATCCTATGAAACAGGAACCATTATTATCCCCATTTTACAGATGAGGAAACTGAGGCACCTAGCAGGAAAATATCAGTCAACAGTGATCAGTTCTGGCGATAGAACAGGAGGGAATGGGGTAGAACTGACAGTGGAGGGAAATTTTACCTGTAATGTGTAAAATTTTACAATGAAAATATATTCATGAATTGTGCGAGTATAGGAAAAAAATCCTTTAAAAAAATGGAATTTAGGGAACTTCCCTGGTGGCTCAGTGGTTAAGAATCCACCTGCCAACGCAGGGGACATGGGTTCAATCCCTGGTCCGGGAAGATCCCACATGCCTCGGAGCAACTAAGCCTGTGCACCACAACTACTGAGCCCGCACTCTAGAGCCACAACTACTGAGACTAGACGCCACAACTACTAAAGCGTGCATGCCTTAGAGCCTGCGTGCTGCAACTACCGAACCCGCATGCTGCAACTACTGAAGCCTGCGTGCCTAGAGCCTGTGGTCCGCAACAAGAGAAGCCACCGCAATGAGAAGCCCGCACACCGCAACGAAGAGTAGCCCCCGCTCGCCGCAACCAGAGAAAGCCCGTGCACAGAAGCAGAGACCCAACGCAGCCAAAAAGAAATAAAGAATTTTTTTTAAAATATGGAATTTAGGGACTTTAAGGCAGAAAACTCTGGATAATCTCAGGAACCTCCCATTTTGCTCAGGAGACCAGCCCCCTGTCCTGCAGTAAACCACCTGGAATAAAAGGGGACCTGGGGGGAGTTCCCTGCTGGTCCAGTGGTTAGGACTTGGCACCTTCACTGCTGCGGCCCAGGTTCAATCCCTGGCTGGGGAACTAAGGTCCCACAGGCTGCATGGTGTGGCCAAAAATTTTTAAAAACTAAAAAAAAAAAAAAAAAAAAAAAAAAAAAAGGG